GGAACAATTTAAGGTTTAATTTATATGCTATTATTTTGTAGATTCTTGGAAAATTTTCAAACTTCCAATTGGAAGTTAAAATTCTGCAAGAATCTCTAACACAAATACCATAGAAAACCTTAAAATACTTTTACATTTTGCTCCACCAATCATGTCTCTCTCCATGTCAACAAAACTTCCATTCACATATTCTCGAGCTCTTGTGTACAAAGTGAAGGTTTTATCTTGGTATGCAATTTCATCTTCTTCTTTTTACGATGAAATAATCTCCATGAGAACAAAGCTAGCAGGTTGATTAAAATTCTCATAATGAGCAGGTAAATCGTTTTACTTAATTATGCAGTTGATACGAATGATTATCTATTTCATTCTCAACTAAAAGCAGACAAACTGGTAACTAGGTTCCATATTTTTTTTCCTTAAAAGTATCCATCAAACACTTCACAATTTCTATTTTTATTTCTCAATATTCTTATTTACATCAAATTTTCTTCATTTGAACATGGGTATTGGTAGTTTCGATATGTCAAAACTTCTAAGTAATCAAACTTACTAAGCAAAATGGAATATAGCAGCCTAATTATTGGTTAGGATACAGCTTAGTTTAATGACCTAGAGAGTTTGGGTTGTGGAAAAGTGAATTACTTTCCTCGTTTTTATAGTTTTTGAGGTGTTCAGTCATAAGGGAGAATTGATGTCTGTTAAAATTTGCATGGACCATGCTACTGAGAGTTCACTTGGATATGGTTATGTCAATTTTAGTAACCCTCAGGATGGTATACGTTAATTCTATGTCTCTTTTTTGTAAACAAAGAATATTTCTTATGTTTGTGTTATTGGATTGAATTCATGAAATTGATTACGTACCTTTTCTAAAAGTTCAAGTTGTGACGGAGGAATTCGAACAAGTCTATTTTGATAAAAGGGTGATTAAATCCAATGGTTGGATTTAATCTTGTAGTCAATTACACAAGCTAGACAATTATGGTAACTAGGTTCCATATTTTTTTCCTTAAAAGTATCCATCAAACACTTCACAATTTCTATTTTTATTTCTCAATATTCTTATTTACATTAAATTTTCTTCATTTGAACATGGTTATTGGTAGTTTCGATATGTCAAAACTTCTAAGTAATCAAACTTACTAAGCAAAATGGAATATAGCAGCCTGATTATTGGTCAGGATACAGCTTAGTTTAATGAACTAGAGAGTTTTGGGTTGTGGAAAAGTGAATTACTTTCCTCGTTTTTATGGTTTTTGAGGTGTTCAGTCATAAGGGAGAATTGATGTCGGTTAAAATTTGCATGGACCATGCTACTGAGAGTTCACTTGGATATGGTTATGTCAATTTTAGTAACCCTCAGGATGGTATACATTAATTCTATGTTTCTTTTTTCTAAACAAAGAATAGTTCTTATGTTTGTGTTATTGGATTGAATTCATGAAATTGATTAGGTACCTTTTCTAAAATTTCAAGTTGTGACGGAGGAATTCGAACAAGTCTATCTTGATAAAAGGGTGATTACGAAGATTTTCGATCTTGATAGTCGGATCACGGGGAAACTTGAATATGTTTGATCTCACACTATGCTATTAGAGATAATATTTATTTATTTAAATTTTGTCTTTTATGGACGAATGCTAGGAATGGATTAATCTAATATGATGTTAGGAGAGTGGAACTTTTCTTGAATTATTATCACATGCCTTGTGTTCAATGAACATTTAGAATTATTTGCTTAGATCTTACACAATAATATTTCAAATTTTTGCGTAAATCTGGAGATCTGAACTTTACTAATCTAACTGGAAAAACCTATCCAAATATCATATCCTATTCGAGACACGAGCTCACGTAGAAGTAGTACTGCAAATATATTTGTTCTCCTTTTTCCCTTAGTTTATTGTTTTGCTTAATCTTGAAGAAATTAATTTATATTTTATTCTTGCACAATTTGGACATAGCAATTGATAACAAGGTACTTATGAGATATTTTCTTTATTTGGGAACATAGTTTCATTCAAAGCTGAAACTGATGCGTCTGCTCAGTCAAAGGCTATGGTTTCGTGTAATACAATACTGAGGAAGCTGCCCAAAAAGCTATTAAACAGAATGGCATGTTATGAATGACAAGGAAGTCTGTGTACCAGACTGTTAGCTAACATTGTAGGACACATTCGTTGAAAGGGAATGAATTACCATAATTGAAACCTTGGAAGCAAACCTATCATATGGACGACTAATATGAAAGTCTCTTCATACAATGGTAAATAAAATAGAAACACAGTATTTCCTTTACAATAATATTTACATATTAAAAAGAAAACTAATTATATAATTTGCATATTTTTTTTTAGGTGTCGCACTTTCTACTAAAGTGAAAATCACTTTTTCATTAGCACGAGAATTTTGGCAGTTGCAGATTATAGAGAATGATCATCAAATATGACTAAGAAACTTCTTCAATTTTCCCATCTTTATAAAATTTACTTAGTAAATTCCATACTTAATTGTTTGCCTTCTTTACTGCAGGATTAAAATAAAAATGTCTGTTAAATTCGTTAGAAGATATAATGGATTCTCGCCATTCATAACTGGGTTGACAGACGATACATCGATTTCTCTAATAATTTTACTCGGAAAAAATTTGACAAAAAAAAAACAGCAGAAAGATTGAGCAAAGAATCCTCGGGACCGATCTTACCAAAGCTCCCATTCGAGGTACTAATTTTTTTTCCCTATCGATTCGGTATTTTTTTTTTTTTTTAAACGTTATTCTATGTCATTTGATTTCCTTCAGCGTGTTTACATAGATGTTGTAGGCATGAAAAAATCATAGAGCTCAAATATACTACTCTCCGAAGTAACAAATATCCCTTTTTTGCATCTTCACAATCATTTTTTGTTATATTTAGTTATCTTCATCGTAATGAAATATCAAATATAAAAATCAGTGCTTTATTTTTATATTCTCATTTTTACATACACCGTTGTCTGAGCTCCCGTGTTATAAATTCATTTACTTATAGATCAGTAGTTGCTGCCTTAACCATGTGCCCAATCGAAAATGTTTCTTATTTGCTCTACATGATTTTCTTTTACTGCGGTGCAGCCTATAAAAAGCCCTGTGGCTAGCGATGTCAACGAGCTGAGCCGAAAAAAAAAAGCTAGGGGTCGAGCTTTTTTAGGCTGAACTTTTTTGGGCCCGAGCCG